ATTTTTCGTGATGTACATACGTGTTATATAGCATCTAAAAATGTAAATGTTTTAAATCATTTCGCCATTACTATTTTACTTCGCTAGTGATCCGGGAAGTCAAAGAAGAGAAAAAGAGAAGAAGAGAAGAATAGGAGAATAGAAGAAGAGAGAAGGAGAAGAAGAGAAGAAGAAGAGACGAAGAAGAGAAGAAGAAGTAAAGAAGAAGAAGAAAAGAAGAAGAAAAGAAGAAGATAAGAAGAAGACAAGAAGAAGATAAGAAGAATAAGCGAAGAGAGGAAGAAGAGGGGATGAAGAAGAAGAAGAAGGAGAGAAAAAGAAAAGAGAAGAGAAGAAGAAAGGAGGAGAAGAAAAAAATAAGAGAAGAAGGTAAGGAGATAAGAAGATGCTGAGAGAAGAAGCTAAGAGAATGAAAGGAGAAACGGCAGGAAGGGTGACTGCATGGTTCCAATAAATGTCGTATAACAAGTCTCAGAAGGAGAGAGCTGTATTTTTTGTAATAAGTATTGGCAGCTTGATCTCTCCCCATTCCTTTGACGATGTTCCGTTGACCGTGCTCGGGTTTCGTAATTACAACTAGTTTTGTGCACTGGCGGGGCTTAGTAAAAAAGAATCCTATTGTTGAGCAAAGACAATCGAATCCCTCTTAAAGAGCTTACGATGGACCGCAGGATTCAAACAATCCCATCAGCAAAAAGCGTGTCCGCAAGGCTATCAACGCCGGGCGGCGGATGCTGGGCAGGGCGGCACTCCATGGAGAGGGCCATTCCACGCACGCGTCGCCCCTCTTCCTCTCTTCTCCAGGAGAGTCGCGGGACTCACGTCTCTCCATCTCTCTAATTGTTTTCCGCGACTTCGTCGAGAGCGGGAACACGAAAGCGCGCGTGTTTCACACGGTTTTCCACGCGAGCGACTATTCGGAGAGAGATCCATGGTACGACTTTGGTGACTGAGGGCAAAGTCAGATGTTGGAGATTGTTGAGAGACGGGTAGTCAAGCATCATTCATGTGTAAGTAATTTCTTTTACTCACCAACTCAAAGTTGTAGAACAAGTTTTATAACCGGCAATTTACAATTTTGATTGTTTCCTTCTGTTGAAACAATTTAATTTTTTCAATAATTTGTATTTAGACATAAAACATAAGCTTGTCTCAGGGAAGCATGGCAATATTTCTATGATAGAAGGTATAATAACAAAAAAAATATATATCATTATAGGTCCTAAAATGTACCTTTGGCATGATACGGGGTGTCGGTCGTAGATTTCTACCGTATTGCTGAGACTGAATAAGGACAATACATGAAAGTTGTTGAAATAAGGGTGGGTATTGGTCAAAATTTCCCGAGTTATACGCCATAAGTGTAGCCTCAGTCACGAGGGGTATTTCGGGAACCACAAGTATAGAGCTATTGCTGTTATTTTTAAATCTACTTTATGCCCTAAAAATGTTTCCCCGTTTTTCTGCAACGCTCTGGATATTTTTTATCACTACACAATAAAATATGAAACACGCTATCCTGAAAGCGAAAAAGAATATAGTCGAGATACCGCAAAATTAAATCTGTCACAACCAACATCATCATTATAATTGCCCAAAAACCACCCTAACGTTTCGGATACCTATCCTATAGATAAAAAAGACTGAAAATGATTATGTTTCATCATCAACAACTTAAAAAATATAATACATTTTTAGGATGCTCTGACATTTCCTTTTATTTCTGGGTTCAATAACTCCGTCATGAACGCACCGAATATACTTCTTCCCACAGCAACTGGCGAGACATCGTAAAAAGTAAAAGCTAAGATTGTTTTTCGGATGTTACTTAAGCGAGGACACATGTTACCGATTTTTGTCGGTCTATCTGTCCTCTGTCCGGTTCTCATAGGCCCTCATACAACTCGAAAAGTGATACTAGAATTCTAATAAAATATTGAAGCACTGTCAGGAACCAAAAAGCAATACAGGCTTTGGAAATCCGTCTAACGATGACCTAGCTGAATGCACAACAAAAATTTTCAGAACGTTCTTGAACTTTGTTAATCGACATGTTCAGGTTTCTGGTACTTTTAAACGGCAATCAAAAAGGGGGATCAAGTATTAAAAAAATATCACTCTATTTATCGACTTTTTCCTAGGTATTGTCGACCGCAGTCAAATAAAATTTTGTGGGTTCCAAAAAACTGAAAGTTTCACTTCTCACCAAGTGTGAAAATTCTGACCTCACAAAGGATGGTCAGAATTTCCCCACACCTTAAATTCTAAGTTGACTTATGTCATTACGAGGGAAGCAATCTAACTGACTCATTTTTATTTTCCACGCCCGCTGGCGAAAAAGTATTGTAATCCCAAAAAAATTGGAACATGAGACATTATGCTTTCTTGATGTTATATATTATGACGCCACCACATACTACGGTCTGTCTGTCTGTCCTCTGATCCTATGCTCGTCTATATCTTGGATTTGGAGAAATTTCCATATAATGTTACTACTGTGCCAAGGACGAAAAAGCTTTCTAGTTCTTTAAAATCGGTCTAGTGGCAGTGGGGTACGGAGCAAGAAATGAAAAGCGAATAGAAATCGCCCAAACATGACGTTTCATATGCTCCTGATCTTCAGAAAAATGTTTGAGGGGGCTGCAAATTGTGGGTTGGGGGTTGTTGGAAATGGAGGAGGGTATCTCTCAATTGTTTTGATGTTAGTAAACATGCCCGCTAGTTCTGGGCACCTATTGGACTTATTTCACACATTATAAATTTCCCCATAGTTTTAACTTTAAAACTTGAAATGAAATGTTTTCGAAGTTCGCCTCTGCTTCTTCTCCCTGGATTCACCGGCAAATACGCTGATCTCGATAAGTGTCCTACCGTTACTGCCGCGTCTGATGCGTCGTGTGGTCAGGGAAGGTGCGGTGAGGGAAGGGCGATGTTACCATATGTACGATACTACCGATAAGGCAGAAAAAGTATGTCTATAGACGAACTGCATGGATCTGTTCGACTGACTTGATCCGTTTATATCGTTATATGCTCGTAACTAACATTTTTCTCAGAAAACTAGCTTGTGCTGAACATAATCATTCATGAACTGATGACGACATTGCGTGGGAAGTCCAGAGTCAACCATCTCGGCGACATTTTTTTTGTATGTGTATCTGCGCTTCCTACGTTAATGTCATCGAACTTAGGTTGCACTTTTCCTGTCAAAAAAAGGTGAGTTTCATATTTTCCGTAGACGACATCGATATTGATTTATCTGTTCGTGTGAGCGAATCTACGTAAGATCTTTATCAACAAATCTATTAATCATTCCATAATTTAATTATCAATTATGAACAAAATTCGGCAGAGAGATGTAGGTTAGCTAGCTCATTTATAATATTACCTGTTTTCTTTAGAACTCATCAAAGTGATACTCACTCGTTACTTTGATTATTGGGTCATTTGTATAATCAGATCGTCTTACAGTCCGCAAAACCATTACATGCAAGCTCTTGTAGTTACAAGACAGCATTGCTTTGTCTGCGGGACAATTACATCCAATCAGGTGCAGTTGCAAGACGGGCTTATTTCCTCGATTCAAATTAGCGAGGTTAGCCAACGTAAACGAATCAGATATTTCCTGTCACATTCCTAACCTATGAATTTGTTTTTTGTTTTTTACCCTTCATGGTATTGTCCTAAAACTAGTTTCAACCGCCAACTATCCAACATCAAAACACAATCTAACGTATAACAGTTAACAATTAAATATAACCACAAAAGCCACCGTACCGACCTAGGGACATTTGCAGGCATTGGTAGACTGTAAGTTACTAACTATGCCACCAGAATTGCGGACATATTTGCAGGAGATATTCAACTGATTGATTTTCGTGCGAGACCCTGCAGGTTGCAAGAACAATTCAATATTTATCTTGCTCTTGCTGACTATAAAGCATGTATAAGAAATGGGGTAAAGTGAAAAAATCGCAGAACCATATCTACCCATATCAGCGTCACTCAGTGTCGGGCTTCTTTGGAGATGATTAAAATATTTACGTCCCGCATCATGCGAGCTTAATCTAAATGGATCTCACTCAAAGCGGGAAGAATCTAGAGTGACATCCGCACTGATCTGGGAATGCTAAAAAAACGGCGGTTTTAAATAAACCAATTTTGGACTGGATCAACTTGCAGGGGTACTAAATTAAATATACCGAACAATGAAACAACAGACCTACGATTCAACTGATAATTTTATTTTTCTATATAATCCCCCCTACATCAATTCTCCTGTATTGAACTTACATACTTTAAAAAAATGTTTTCTCTTGACTCTCAGAAACGTCGTCGACGGCTGCTTTTAGTCCACACTGGGTGTTCCAAATTTGAACCTAACTCACAGGTAGCTGAGAAAACGATACCAAGAATGTTTTGAAATTTACAGAGAAAGGTGAAAAAATCTGAACATTCCCAAAATCGTAGGATATATCTCAATATTTTGATGTTGGTAGGGTAGGGTTTTATTATTGGTTATATTATTTGATAGATGGAAAGTACAAACTTGAAATTTGGTATAGAGTAACTCCTTCATGTGTAGGTTGATTACCTTTAAAATCCAATGCGAGCAGCAAAATAGTTTTTTCAATAATTCTCATGTCATAAAAAGTGGCATTTGGCCATCTCTTCTACAGTCTGTAGGAGAGATGGCCATACCTTTAAGGTGAGATGGCCAGTTAGATTTTATTTATTTTTTCGCAGGAAAATAAATTACTTAGGTCATATTAGACGCACACAACACTTTATTTTTACATAAGCGATAAAAAAATAAAATGGGAACCCACCCAAAGTGTCGCATACATGTTTTTTTACAAACTAAGAGCAGTTTACTTTGCAATATTAGAAGAACACAATTCACAAATAAAATTTGCAGGGGTACTGTGCCCGCTGCATAATTTGTGAACCCATTTTCCACAGTAAATGCACCTATGCCAAGTTTCACCGCTCTTCCCAAATTATTGGCAGACTAAGCAGATGTCTACAATGCCGATGTCGTCATTCAGGTTGTTCTTTTCTATTATTTTTTTTTTGCTTTCTTTGCTCAAAAGATTAGCGAGGGGTTCTTCGTCAGATTCAGTTAAACAGCTGTTAATCTTTCTTTCCTTGGATCTACTGACTTTAGGTTTATCATCAGTTTTTCTTTTCTTGGTTTCTTTTTGTTCCTCGCCTTTTCCTACTTTTCTCTTTTTGAACTTCTCCCGACAGGACTCAATGTTTGATGTACAAGTCAAATCTGAAGCAACTGATCCGGACCGTCTTTTTACAGCTTCAACCCTTAATCTAGGCACGGGCGATTGCCTGCATTTTACTGATAGGGGTTACTTCTGTTTCCAGATTTTGACAAGTCCCTTCTAGTTGAATGTTATTCTCGGCAAGGTTTTTAATAGGGGTTGAACTATTACCGTTGTCTTCATTTATCAAAGCTGGCTCATCAACTTGGTCATCACCAATATTTTCTAAGGTTCTATCTTGAGAATCGGATAAGTTTTGAGTTTCAATTTGAACTGCCACGCCTGGTGTTTCAATTTGAAAATCTGCTATAGCAAAAGCGTAGTCCGGTATGGCATCTGGATTATATGTGAAGATACCGTACTTCTGAAACCACTAACAGCATTATTAATAGTTTCAGATTTTCCCCAGGTATCAGATAATAATTCTCCATGCTGGTATCGGGTTATACGCCTGCCAGGATGACGCTTCATCCAAAGTCTGCAGTTTGAATAAAATGTATTTTTAACAGATTTGAAAACACCCCTATCTAATGGCTGTAAGAAATGGGTGCAATGACTAGGAAAACATAGCAAAATTATGTCATTTTCTTTCGCATACTCCAGCATTTCAACAGAGGTAGAATGAGACGTATGCCCATCTAGTAATAGAAGTGTCTTTCCTTCTGGTTTTCTGGAAGTGAAGTGTTCCTTCAACCAAGACAAAAAAAATTGTGAATTCATGTATGCTAACTTCAGTGATATAAAAAGCTTACTCCCAGGGGGTAGGTTGTCTTCCAATTGTTTTTTGATATTATTACCCTTCATAATGACTGCTGGGGGCAAGAATGTGCCTTCTGCTTTGCAGCAGGCTACTAAGGTAATGGTTTCTCCCTTCTCAGAAGAGGTGATGGCGGAAACACTTTTTGATCCTTTTTCAGCTAAAACTTTATCGGGGCGATTGTTCAGCTGGAGACCCGAATCATCCATATTCAATATATTCATCGGTTTGTCAAATAACTGATTTTCCTTCAAGACCTTTTGCAACAAATCAAAATATTTTTTTAATACCTCACGGTTCATAGATTGACTTCTTGGTAGAGAAAGACCTTCGGATTTCCTAATAGTAATTGTGAGGTTTCGTCTCAGAAATGATTGCAGCCAGACGTGTCCAACCATTTCGGTGTTAGGGTCAAATTTGTACCTAAATCCCAATTGATTGGTGAATTCGTAAGCAAGCCTGCGCACATCAGGCAGCAGCGGTGGCCGCAGTAGTAGACTCTTCGGTCTCCTGATCAGTCGCCGTGCGCTGTGCGGGTTCGAGTCCCGTCCCAGGAGAAATGTTTCTCTTCGCTATGGATGTTGTGATTGTCCGTAGGAGGTAGACGGTCTCTGACTGTCGAACGCGGAGGTACCACCCGGCGGATCTCGTAGGCGGAGCCAGAATGTGTGCATGTTGCATGCGCACGTGTTCCCTCGCCAGAGTCCGTGTGGCGTTCCCCGCTTTTCCATGCATCCCCATATAGCCCCACAGTACCCAATGGGTGCTTAGGCCTTAGGCCTTCGTGGTAGTTGGAGTATAAAAAAAAAATCTTGTCTGGTTAAGGCAAATCCGCTTTTCTGCATATTTTTGTTATGTCTCACCAGCCTCATCTCATTGGAAGTACCCAACAAAGAATCAGGGCCCAGCTTCCCTTTTTTATCGTTATTATGGTTAAGCCTTCTTTCCAAGGTCTTGCGAGGAATTTGAAATGATAAAGAAGCTCTTCTAACGGACATTAAACCATCTTTCACTACTGCCATAGCATTTTTAAGGTTGTCCTCTGTCCAACTTCTTCGATTATTGAAATTTTTTTGCACGTACACGTTTGGCATCTAAAAAAAATATATCCAAAGGGGGTAACTCCGAATATATTGCAACAAGACGAAGAAAATTGATGGGTTTAAGAAAAAAAAGAAAATAAGTAAAACGTAGGAGAGATGGCCATATGGCCATATTTCCTCTAAAAATATAGGGCTATCTCTCCTTATTGTATAGGATAGATGGCCATCGCGTTTACTAAAATCCACGCGACCGGTGGATAAAAATGTGAGGTTAGGTTACATTCAGAAAGTCTAGCGAGAACGTTTATGCAAGAAAAAATGCAATATACACGGTATTTCCGTCAGAATTACAGTTTAATTAACATAACACAAAAGTTTTGCATAATGCTTATTTTATATTATCCTTTTACTAACGTTTTTATTTTGTTTTTGCCCACGATGCAGCTGTCTACAGTAATGTACAATGTGCGCTACCTATCAGAAAGGCAGCGAAATAAAGAGACTGGGCCGTCTATCCTCTATGGCCATATTTCCTCGCCGTCGGTGGTCGTACGTCACAGTCAGATGGTGCAAAGTGGATAGTCTAATTTCCATCATACCCTACACATGTTCGATGGGATTTAAACCCGGTGACCCATGACCCAGGACAAAACATCAACGCCTGCTTTTTGAAGAAAGTCCTTAGTACGACAAGCAACACGGGGACGTGCGTTGTGTTTCTGAAAAAGGATGTGTGGACGGCCCTCTAGATACGGTATTGAAGTGGTTTGTGGGACACACTTCTATGGGCTGCGTGAACTGTGTATGTTGAAGGTCAATATCGTCATTCATGCATGGTTGGTCATCGCAACGATCATGTGCACCTGCAACAATTCCTCTCAGGTGGAGGAGGAAGGTCATTAAATTTTTTGTTATACATGTTCTTGGCTAATTTTTTTTGAGAAGGGCTTACTTGTGCCAACCATAATCCTTTGCGAACTAATGACAGCGTAGCGTGGGAAGTACAGGGTCTACTTACTTGACGCTATTTTTTACAGTACAATGGCAATTAATGACAACACGCCTTTCAAGTGACAGATCATTTACTTTGTCTTCTCTTCATTCCTATACAATAGATTGAACTGTCCTGTAGCATGCCTAAATCGCGCGAAGATAGTACTTCGTAAGTCCAGAAAAGCCCAGGATCGCTTGGGGTAGGCATCCTCGTTACCAAAGCACATCCAGCCTCCCAAAGCGACAAGCGCCCATCGTCCCTAAAACGGTAAGTGCCTACCGAGAACGCGAAAAGCCCATCCAAAACTGTTGTCGCAGCATACGAGATAACTGTTATGCAATCGTCGACTACTAATGCTGCATATTCATTGTTCAGGGATCTGAAATACGAGAAGTAGTTCTTCGACATCGAAAGGGAAACTATATTATATGTCTCGTGACGAAATTAAATGAGGCACAACAGTTTTGAATTGAGATGGCGAAGTGAAACATCTCCGCATTTGTTATCAAATACTTTTATTTTTTATACGTTAGCTGACTCAGTGCCGCAAATACTACGATCCCCTTGTAGTATAGAGCTGTGCCAAATAGGGGCTTTCAGTGATTGAATTCCAAGGTTTCGATTCTGGTCTCTAGGTTAGCTCCTCTGATTCCTTCACAATTTCCTTCGTTGCTCATATCCGCAATTCCAAAACATACCATCGGTGTTAATAAGCGCTACAAACGAGCAATATCGTAGTGGAAACCGATTACGCAGGTTGACCCTCTTACCCAGAAACCAGAGTATGCTTTCCCGAAGGCTATTGATGCGATGAATCCATGGTCCAAATCTCACAATTTGCTCTAGTTTCCAGGATAACCTAATCTACAAGTGCAAAATTGCCTGTATTTTAGATTATGTAGCATGGAGCATTATTTATTTTCAAGAACCATAGACATCAAAGTACAAGTCTCGCCCTTTCAAATGCTGTTCAGTTTTTTGCTAGGATATGGCACTTTGAAATATCCATTTTTCCGATACAATTTTTATCGGAAGAAAGTGGTATTCATTTTAAAAAAGTATTCAATCAGCAGTAAGAACGTTAAACTCGTCGTTGATATGGCAAGGTGGGTTGTGGGCTTGTTGCTTGGGTAGGTTTAAGATATTGTATGGATTTAGTCTTGACGATTTATGGTCTTTCAGCTGGCAGAATTTATTTCATATAAACACATTAAAATGTTGTTAAATTTCTGGCGTATTATACGCTCAGCCCTGGTGCACACATAATCATAATATGTAGAGTAACACATATAGTAAGTTTCAGAAAAATGAAAATTTCAAAGTTGCGATATCATAGCGAAAAAATATATATATCCAATAATACTCAACGGCATTTGAAAGGGCAATGCTTGTACTATGGTTTTTTTACCTACACTTAACGAAAATCAGCCGGGTTGACTTTTAACGAACTGTTTAAAAGAGACCGCGTGATGTTCTAGTCGCCTAATGATGCTGGAGGTCTACCAACATGAAAACTGCAAAGTAAGTTTCAGGTAGAAGAACTGTTTGAAATGTAGGTTTCTGTGAATTTGGATATTAAGTACTTATAATTCTGGAGACTATCAAATAAAAGACTGCAGAGTGGAACAGATTGGTTGATGTATATCAACTGATACTCTTAGGCAACTTCTATGTTGATTGGAACTTTTTGACATTTTTATTCTATACAATATATACTATAAGCTGGACTTGCACATCTTGCCCCTATTTGTGTTAGCCTCACATGCTTTACAGTCTGCCTTCTTCGATATCAATAAATATTTCTTCACTTCTTGTTCTTCAACAACGTTCAACCCTATTTTTACTCTCCCAGTTTCACCTTCTGCGATGAATTTGACCGTTAACTAGCTGAAACGGAAACTGAACATGAATCCAAAGGCTCATACTCAATTATTACAATTATTGCCTTACGCCTGATCGTTACTAATTGGTCGCTGGATTTATAAGCGTTAGTGCCAGTATCCGTATTGCGGTAGGGGTGATATTTGAATCCGAGCGGTATAGTCTATCGTTCCTTTCAATCATTTCGTTCAAAAACAAATCGGGAACACAACCACCGGAAATCGACGCCATCGGAATCAACGAATTCGAATAGGTTAGAAGCAGCCAAGCCTATAGGTGTATTTACATTGCATTGTTTGTCATCAAGGTTTTGTACTTCCAGCGCATAGCTTTGGCTCATTTGCCTACCATTGCCTACCAAAGTGACAGACCAATGCATCGGCGAAGGTTTTTCCTCTGGTACTCAATCAGCCAACTGTACTGGCACTTACGTTTAACACATTCGCTGCCGCTGGCTCTTATAAGAAACAAGGTACAATACTGCAGGCACTCAAGGGCACAAATTAGTAAAACGTGATTTAGATGGTAAAAAACAAGTATCCAGAAAAAGATGCCAGTATTATAGCAAGAAGTGAATCCGTACCCAAACAATGGACGAATGTAGAACATGCCCTGATGTTCCAGGATTCTGCCTGGAGTGCAGTGACATTATTCACAAATAATTTTTTGCACTAAAAATAGTCTGCATTCACCACAAATTCATGTGTGTATTCTAAAAAAAGTTGTTTCATTTCTTATTTTTGATTAGATTTTATTTATATCATATTATTTACCGGAAAAGTGTTATATTTTTATATGTTCTCTACTATTTTGAGTTACAAAAATTATTTTTAATATTTTATTTTTGTTAACAGTCGATAATAACTGTTTTTTTTTGCTTTTAGTTTATTTCTATTATAAAAAACAAATAATTATCTTCCGCCTCTTATAAGCGCCAGCTGGCACACAGGAAACAGATTTGTAAGTCAGTGCCGTCGGCTCTTAGAAGAGCTATACAAAATATTCTAATTAAAAAAACATTTACGAAAATACCCCAATAACTGATTTTACCAGGTTATACTACCAAAATAACAAATTAGCCATTATACAAATAATTGGCTCCTGGGTAAAATCAACCGAAAAAATTTCATAGATATTGCTTGTTTCCAAACATTCATTCATTTACTTGCCGTTCATCAGAACCATTATGGCACCTTAGATTGATATTCTCACAAAACCATTCAGGTTTTTTGATATCCATACATCCATAAGTTGAACATTTTTCGTTGTTCAGGAACTGAACAAACATCCACACTATATTTACAGCGATTAAGGAATACCCAAATATATGTCGTAAAGCTACCAGCAAACCTAAAATTTGCAAAAAAACTAGAAATTTGAAATATTTTTCTTTTTTCACGAGTACACATTCTAGGTTATATAATTAGACATTATTTGAATAACAGCTGATAATTACATTTCAAAACTCCCCAACGAGTGACACATGTGTGGGATCCGTCAACCCTTGGTCCCAGTCACAAATTATATATACTGAAGAAGGCTTAATTCCATGCTATACAATGACAACACGGTGACTTGTGTAGTTGTCAGCGGCCATTTTTTGAGGGTGCGACATGGTTGTCAGATGGTGCATCAATATCCCGTTTCACCCCCGTAGTCCCAGTGGAGTACGCTCCGCCAACCTGTTGAAATATACTCTACTATGCTTTATAAGACTTTTCGTGGAATTTTTCCCAAAATCCTTGCTCAACACTTGAAAAAATGCAAATAAAAATTTAAAATTATTTCCATGCCGCCCCAAAACAGCTGCGTCGGTACCTGCTCTATCTTGACAGCAGGGACGTTCGATATGATCCTATATTTAGAAGTATCGCTACTTTTGCTTCCCATACCCCATATTGTGAATCGATATTTTTATATACATCACTTGGGTGTATCGATACATTTCACGAGTATCATCATCTTTCGATCCGGAATGTGTCAGAAAGAGTTATTCACTTCAGATTACTTTTCTTCTTAGTTTCCTTCCGCTGGATATCGATAATTTTATTCCAATATTTTAGAGTTTCGACACTTCCTAAAACGATAAGAATCGATACATAACGATACTTTTCGTTGATCTAAACATCCCTAATATTGACAGCTTGTCGTTCTTGTCAACTGGGCTGCAGGGTGCGGTGTTGCCTTTACTACCTTACATTTTGCTAAAATCTTATGACAAATAAAGGCTTCAAATGAAATCTTGACGAATATGAACGCATATGCATAAACTTTAGAATATAAATTCATATTGCAAATTTCAGATCGTCTATGCATGGACTTGAACAGGATTATTCGGTATTTTTACCGAAAAGAGAATATTTAGCGATAACATCATTCTCCACTATTTTATACCTATACCTGCCGAAAAAGAGCGGAAACCAAAAATAAAGCTAAAAGTTAATTTTATAGAGTATTCATAGTTTTATGCCTCATATCAATCATGCATATGCATACACACTCAGGCCATCGGACACATGATGAGAGGCGTCGATTTGGGTTGCCTATGATGACGAACGTACATCCTC